CAAGTTGTTTTCCCCCTTTTCGTTTCAGGTCCTTTGAAGGTCGGTGCTTTCTTGGTGTGTTCTTTCCGCCCCCCCGTCTACGGATCCGACTGGGTGGTGTTCTAACGCGCAGGCGGATCAGGCGTTTGGGGGTGAGACTTAGTGCGAACAAAACACGGTCATGCTTGGATTTAGATGGTTCAGGCCAATTCTTAATCACACACGTTTGTATAAATGGACACATGGTGAGCTTGTAAATGAGAAACCAACAATCGCTTTAAGTGCCCAATATCTGACTTGTTATCTATGACTCTATGAAAACAGCCGAACGGCAGAAATCAGATTGGTGAGGCTCAGAAACAATGGATCCAATCTAGCTCAAAGAACCCAGCAACTTGTCGCCGCAAGAGTTGTGCTAAAATCACATTGAAAAAAGGATGCAAAAGCATAAAAGGAACTATATAATTATATAACTATAGTATCGCAGTACAACGAGGGTAATTATCACCAGAGTCATTCACCGCCCCCAAAACCTGCCCGCAGGAGGTTCCCTCCGTCCGAACTGGCACCGTGTTGAACTCCAAAAGCATCCCGCCCAGGACCAGGTTGAGTTCCCCAACATGCCGGAAGGAGCCGTCTGCGAGAGCTCGGGCCTGGTCACCGTGCGGTGCTCACATCACGTGTCCCTCCGGTTCGCTTTCCGCCACATCACTCACATCATCCCAAAAAACCCATGATCAAGCCATGTTTGCTGCCAATTCCAAAGCCGTGCAAGATAACTTGTGTCTCTTGGCCTTGGAGTGTGCTACCAGGGCACTGTGAGGTAGGGTTACATATGGCGGTTTTACAAATGCACAATGCACAAATGTATTTATATATGTAATTAATATGTATATATGTATATACATATATTATACACATATTGATATGGTGATACATGCATGTGTGCTGGCAAGGTCCCAAGTCATCGGTGTTTGCAAAACAACTTCTGTACTGGAAATAGCTTTTGGTACTTGTAGTCATGAGTATTCTTGCGCCGCTGGGCGAAGCAGCTCGCTTCAGCACCGCCCACCCGTCGACGGCTGCGGCCTCTCTTCAGGCCACAACCTCGGACCAAGGAGAAGCCGAACGACCGTCGACGGTCGCTGCGGAGGGGTTCTCCTGGAATCATCTTAGGTACACTCTGACTCCAAATGGAAGTATATACTAGGGGCTATAGCAGTTGCTAGATGTTACTAGCATCTCCACTGGGTATCAGGATCAAAAAGTGTTATTGTTAGGATAAAAAGAAAGTTATCCCCGGGAATCAAAAAGAAGTTATTATGAGAATCAAAAACATCTTATCACCTCTAGCCAGACACCCTCACCAGCTGGTGACAGTGACACCCCACAATATCTCTTCCTTCCTTCCTTCCTTTCTTCCTTCCCTTCTTTCTTCCTTCCCTTCTTTCTTCCTTCCTTCCCTTCCCTTCCCTTCCCTTCCCTTCCTTCCTTCCTTGGTTCCGAAAAGAAACACGTTTCCGCCTGGAAACCCGCCCTGAACGGCTTGCTTCCGCCGTAACGTGAGGCAGAGCTGAACGACTCCTAAGCCCGTCCAGGCGGCCACGGAAAATAGGTTCCATTGATGTTACATGTTCATGCAATGATTATTACTGTATATATGATATCTCTTTTGGTGCACATGGTTACAATTCTTGAATATGAAATCACCAAAACCTAGCTGAAGAACATCTCCCGCTTCGCATCCCTCTTGGACCATCCGTCCTCCATGTCTTGCAGGTGTTTCCTCCCATCCGTCGCTCGCTCTTCTGGAGTGAAGGGAAAAAAACACCACCAAGCTCCCATCACCCGCGCCGTACCTCGCGCCAACCCACCACACCAACCTCTCACCCCGGTCTCACACGGCCTGTTCCTTCTCCCGCCCCATGGACCGAGTCAAAGTCCTTTCCAGTGCGCCCCAGTCACGAGGCCATCAAGCCGCTCCTCCAGCGTTTCACGCTCGGCAGCTCCTCGCGGTTCTTCGGCTTCGAACCAAGGCGTCGGGCGCCCGTGGGGGGTCTGTTCACCCGTGGCCCGTTGCATTTCACCCTGCTATAGGTTCACCTCGTCTCTCTGAGTCTTCTTCTTCAAAGTGCTGCATCGCAGCATCCAATACTCATCCAATCGGAGCTCCAGCGACGCTGACCCAGGGTTCGACGGAATTGGCCAATTGTTGGCCCCGTGGTTGGGGCGCCACTGAAACGTCAATCCAGTCAAGGAGCCTAGAGAGGGTTGAACAGCTCCATCCATCGCCCAGCCCATATGTACCACAGACCAGGGTCCAAGTTCAGGTCTCTCAACCTCTCTTGGAGGTTCCTTTTCACCCCCTTCGGTCATCGGGCCACCTCCACGTCGCTCGGGGACAACGGGTCGACGGTTGCTCCTCCACCGACAGCGGCAGGCGCAACTCGGCCTCCGGCGGCGGGCCGATCCGAAGGAAGCCCTCTCATCCAAGGTTTTCAGGTCGCACAGCCTCTCATCCAAGGAGAGTACCCCACTTTAAAAAAAAGAAAAGGCCGCGGGCCGCGGGCCGGGGGACCAAGTCTATCCTTCTTTTGGAGCCAGTGATATCAGTGATTCTCCCAGTGGGGTGAATCATTGGCTCCCCATCCCCAGACTGGCTCCATCCGCGCCCGACCTGAAACACCATGCCAACGGGCGCAAAACGGTCGGGGTCAACCGGAACGCCACGGTCATCACCCGGATCCCGAGCGGCGCCGTGATCCGGAGCGGAGCGGAGCCCTAAGACTCTGGATGAAGGAAGAAAACCACCTGGACCTTCAAAGGGTTGTCCTGGCTGGAGGTCCCTTAGTAGTGTAGGGGCTTCCATTGGAGACCCCTTTGAAGGTGCTGGCATGTTTGGATATGTTTGGGGTGGTCTGTGATCAACAGGGGTCACTCTGTATCACTCCAGCTGCACCATGACATGGAATGCGTACAGAAAGGTTCCTCAAAAGGTGGATCGATCCACATGACAGGCACCCGAACACCGAAAGCAAAAGCGAAGACCTTCAGTTGGACACTCCGAGTCCGTTGGCATCTCTTGATGTTCTCATGAATTGGCCGATGACTCCAGTCAACGAAGCAGCCTGTATGAAGGAGACTCTATGACTCCGCGGCCTGTATGAAGCAGCCTTGGTTTTCATGAAGTTGCCTACTGTATGACTCCAGTCAACGAAGCACAGAATCCGCAGCCTGTACGACCTAAGGAGCCTTTGTCTCCCCTGCGGACCAGTGTGCATGAGACCCTATTCTTGAGGCCTGCAGCCCCCATTCACCTGCACTCCTCAGGGGCTGATCCAATCTTCGAGCCCAAAACCCCATTCGCACTGGCCCCACCCAACCCACGCCTCCGAGGGCAGTGGCCTGTGCCTGCTCCAGGTGGGGTCTACACCCCCCCCCTCTCCACGGGCGCGAAGTCTTGGGAGTTCTCGAGAAAGACCCCAAAATGGCCACCCGCCCTCCCCAACGCGTCCCCGTGTGCTGCCCCTCCTTCTGATTCTTGAGACTTGGAATCCTAGACCGCGGTCGGGTCTTAAGACCTGTCTACTACAGCCGCTCGGCTACTCACTTAATAAGTCTTACTATACAGTAAATCAGTTTTGGAGTTTGTCATAAGCTTGTCACAATGTTTATACATTGCTTCAAACCCGGCGAAAAGATGTCAGACGCGGCCTTGGTGGAATCGCAGCTCCCCCTAGGTCCCTTTAGGACCCAGTATGTTGATCGCACGGCCCATACCAGGTCCCAGGACAGTCTAATTCCTCCACAATGGCCCTCTACCAGGACCCCCTGTTCGGGGTTTCTATTAGCCCAAAGAGGTGATTCGGGGTGTCCCTTCACCACCCCACCCTACACTCTGGGTCCTGGTATCACCAGGACCCACAGAGGCAGCGACCTGATCCCAGCTGGGCTCCCCCCGCGGCTTGGGCTTGGGGGGCCGCTTCGGCGCTCCCGCCGACGTGGGCCGCGCCTGCGAGGAATGAAAACCCAGACCACCTCATGGATGGTGAAATTCGAGTGAGCATATCATCCAAGGGTTTCAGAGTTTTATATACTTCGCAGGCGGTGACGTTTCCTCCCCCAAGTCCATGTGGGTCCACGTCGGCCGCGAAGCAAGTCCTCCCTTCGCCCGAATCCAGTGGAACGTCCTCCGAAACGAGTGCTCCAGAATTTCCGGCTTGTGGGGCTCCAAACCAATCCACACCATCTATAATAGCGGCTTCCTTGCTTCCTTGGCATTCTTGCTGGCGGATCGCAGCTCGGGTGGAACATCCAGCGGACTGGGCGTCCATGCTCGTGAGATCCACCCCCCTTGAACACCTGGAAATCACAAAGAAACAGCTGCTTCGATGAGAAGGGGCTCGCATGGTTGTCTTTTCCCGGAAAAGACCTTCACCGTCTCACGCTCAAACTCCCCCCACCGCACCGGAGGTCGAGCGGCCCTTTTGCACCGGAGTCCTGGTCGAGCGCCGTGGGCTGGTTGCTTCACCTCGTGAGCACCGGACGCCGTCGGTTAGAAGCCCTGTTCAAAGGGGGCCAACCGTTGGCAGCTCAGCCGGTGAAGTCACAGCCGGTGCCACAGTCAACGTTGGCCGCTCGGTCTCCTTCCACCTCAAAAAGGCTCATTCAGAGAGATCCGCCGGGCGTAGTCCTGCGGCCGCAGTAGTCCTTCACCAGCGTCCCATCCTCACTGCGGCCGCTGAGGGCTGCCAACTTCTTCAGGAATTCAATTCACTGAGTGGAAGCAGTCCTCAGGATATGTAGCATCGAGAAGGGAAGGAAAGTCCGCAATCCACCCAAGTCACAGGGGTCAAATGAAACATTCCATCCAATTCCATCAAACATCCTCGGCGTCGAACTTGCCTGTTTACATCTGCTGAAACTCTTGGCACAAAACCGACAACGATGACCGATGACACCTGACTCCCAACTCCGATCTAAAGCGCCGCGAATTCGTTGCCGCCCGAGTCACAAAGAGGTCACGCCCCGCGAGCACCGCGAGCACCGCCCCGCTTCCGCAGCTCCTGGGGAAGCTCCCGCTCGACTCGGCTGGCACCAAACCGGGTGGGGGTCAAAGGCAGTGTGGAACCGGAGGTCACGCAGCTCTCCCCCGGCTTCAGCTTCCAAAAAAGCACCGCCGTGTTGCCGCCCCTCCTGCGGTGTTGAGAGTCTGAGGGAAAAAAGGAGGAGTCTAAGACCAGAGGTCGACCTTGCTCCGAACGAGCCGTTTCATGGCAACCTGATGCCCACCACATCCACAACCGGGCGCCTCAGTGTCCTCGGTGTCCTTCAGCTCCTGAGAGGTAGGGGAACCCATCCAGGATGACCAGCGACCCAGCTGGAACACATTCGTTTTCCCAACTTCAAAAGCAGGTAGGAGATTCTTTCAACCCAAACGCTCCAAACAGGCCTTGGTACCTCAAAACCATAGGGATTTGCGGGTCCGGACCACTCAATATGAGGGTACGGTCCCTACTTAGGGGGGTCCATGAGCGTGAAAGTGTGTTTTTTACATTGTTTTACCACATGGGACGTTCTTCACAACCGACTTCCAAGTTGCTCTGTGAATCGTTGTTTGAGGATATTTCCGGACGTTGTTTGACCTCTCCGGTCGTAGGACCTGTCGATGTGGAGAGTCCGGTGGATGGGGCCATCCCGCCTCCCATCCCGCCTCCTGGGTCTCCGCCTCTCCCGTCTGCTCCGCAGCCTTCAGCACCTGGCACCCCGCGTGGATGGACGCGGAGTTCAGGGATCCGTCACGTGAGCCTCTCGAAAGAATGGTCCTTCAAAACTGGGCCGACCCAAAAGGAAGAGAACTCTGAATTGTAGACTCTTGATTCTCCATGAATAGAGCACCCCATTTGGATTGTAGAATCTGTTCACATGGGGGGTTGAGGGCATTACTCCCTACATTAAACATGACTGTCCCCTATGAATCTTCACATAAGTTTTTTTGAGCCAAGTTGGACTTGGCCGCATCTTGGGTGGCTGCCGTCGCCTTCCTACACGAGACTTGGTTGCAGTGCTCCCCAGGTCCTTTTGATAGGAAGGTTCTTATTCTTGTCTCTTGTGGAGATATCTTTGTGTTGTATTCTTATTGAAATGTTATCTTTTTTGTGGTGGAATGTGGTGGATTGGTTTGTGGGGCTTTTGTTTCCTCCTCTTCTTCCTCTTCTTCTTCTTCTTCTTCTTCTTCTTCTTCTTCTCGCGGTTGCACTTGCTCGTACGGCGGTGGGGTTCGAACCCGGGACCCCCCTTCTTTTCGGAGGGACGGGGTTGGAAGATTCGAGGGATTCGTCCCGCAGACGAGTCACTCCAGCTATGCTAGGTCTTGCTGGGTCTGACCTGTAGCACCACTCTATGGATCGAATTCAGCCCCTTCAGAATCACATGCCGCCGAGAACCACCTCACTGACCCTGCCCGCATCGCGTGGGCACCAGCCTCCAAGACCTTGGCGTCATGCTCAGCGGCCAGGGACTCCAAGCTCCTGTGGTCGCTGAGCTGCAGCTGTTTCCAGCCCCAGCTGGTCTCACCCAGGTTCAGTCTCGTCTCACCCAGCTCAAGTTCACCACGGATCCGGAACAACGGACAACGGAAGACCGAAACGGTCACAAAGGACTCAATGATCAACTGCCATCAACTCAGGACCTTCGCTTCAACCGGAAAATGATCTGATAGAAAGCGGTCCAAGCAGTCCAAGCAGTCGGGAGCTCCATGCCGATCCTCCCCAGCGACCCGGTCCTAAGTGGTCCAAGCTCTTCCTCTTAAAGACAGGTACCGCTCCTCACCCTTTCACCCCCGGACTCGTGCAGACTCGCGCCATAGTGCACGGTGTTGTTTCCCATGCCCCGATTTGGGTGCAGTTTGCAGCCGCTCGACCGGGGTTTCCCGCCTGGACAGGGCATAGAGCCCCAGCACCCCGGCGCCAAAGAAGAGGCCTCGACCCGACGACGAGAAGGTCGACGCGGTGGAACTCAGTGGAGGAACCCGGTGGCCGGAAGGGGCCTAAAAGGGCCTAAAACCAAGAGAAACGATGCAGCTATCCTCTGTGCTGCCTGTCAAGTGCCTTCAAGTATGGATGCAATACAGGATCCATCTGTTGCGCTTCAAATTGTGCCTGATTGATCCATGCGCTTTGGTAGAAGCATGTTCTGCCCGTGCACCGTGCAGCACAAACCCAAACGGCCTCCCCACGACATCCAACGCCCCGGCCGCGGACTCCACGGGCGAGCCCATGCTCGACCCGCGGACGGAGGCGCGCGGGACGGGCGAGCGGCTCACATAGACCACCTTCACCAGAGTCCCATAGGGCCCCTCCTCGGTGGCTCCACCGTGGGCGCGTGGGCGCGTGCGGAGCGCAGGAGCGACCGACCGTCCGAAGGCCAAGGCCCAGTTCATCCACTCGCATGAAGAAGGCTGGGCGGCCAACCCCAAGGAAGTCTGGGCAAAGACGTTGCAACCCTTGTTACCTATTCACTTGGAACCCGCTTGACCCCTGCTTTGGCACGAAAAGATCCGAAAAGACCCCATTTCGGCTTACGTGACGTGACAAGGAGGTCGCTCAGGGTCCAAGACCATAGGAAGTCATAAACAACAAGACTGCTGAATCTACAAAAATTCAATCTAAGCCAGGCGTTTTAATGGGTCTCATCATGTCTCATCCAATTCTGCCAAGGTCACCAGCCAGCTGTTGAAGAGCTCTGAAGCTTTCCTGGGAGACGGACCCGGAGTCAACGCTCAGAAAGACAATGAGCCCCAAATCAGAGTCCTTTCCAAGCAAAACATGGTTCGGCCCATCTACTCGACTTCTTACAAGTCCTTTGCGCGTCTGCTCGTTCAGGTGGGGACAGTTCCGAGCTGGTAACCAGGACCCTCGCCTGAAAGACATGGGGGTTGCTCCGGTCCCTCGGGACCCGGTTCCTCCAGCCACCCCCGCGGTCACCGCTGTCGCCCAGCGTCAGCAAAGCCCGGAGCATCGGCGTTAGCGGTGGAGGAGCGACCGGTGCGAGCGACCAGAGTCGGCATGGCCGGTCGGGGTCGCTCTCTGGTCTGGGAGTCGGCTCGGAGTTGAAGGAAGAAACTGGACATGTGTGGAGGGTGATCCTAAAACCGAGTTTCATCACCTGACTCTGTTATTCTGGAGAAATCTGGTTGAACTAGGCACCCAGGGCACGTGCCAGTCCGAGTTTGGCAGGACTGGGTGATAGGAATTCGAGCGCATGGGAAGGTAGGGAGAACATCATTTAGAGATTCAAAACTTTTCGAGATTGGTTGGGTCCTGTAATAGTCCTTATCACATTCGTTGGATCGCTTTCAACCTCTTTCAACCGCCCCACGGCCTAAGCACAGCTTGAGCCGATGATGGCGAGAATCCACCTCCCTGTAAGGAATCTGAACAGCTGTTGCAGGGGTCATGGTGTTGTAGGACTCGCCAGACATGCGTCCTGTGCCCTGTACAGGTAACCTACACGATCCGTCATCCGCAACGAACAGCCGGTCCGTCAACCAACCGGTCTCACGCCAACCGGTCGGCATCAGCGAGCGCATGGGCCGGCCTACGGGCCATCACTGACCACGGCAATCCAACCGTCTGAGGTGAATCGGCACGGATGGGTTTCACCGCTCTGAAGGGTTTCAGACATCTCCTATCACTGATGGGAAACACGTGCGTTAGCGAGAGAACGCAGGCACGAGGGAAACATCCCGCACCCCCTGGCGCTCAGGTTCCATGCCTGGCGCTTTGGGGGGCTGGGGCTCAGCTCCGTTACCTGGAGACGCAGAAGACTCGAGGATGCCCCACTCGAGGCCGCCACAGGTGATCCATGTGAGTAAGAACTCCAAAAGCAAAAAGAAGTCGTCCCTAGAGAGGACCAATGGGAAGTGGCTTGCAATCAGATGGGGCAAACCAAAAAAGTTCCCAGCAAGGGAACATAGCAACGCCTGTACTACCAGATCTGCCCTATCCAATGGAAGCCCAAAAATCCTAAACCCACTCCTGTGACGGGACAAAACAGGGGTGCAACCAAAATGGATTTACAGAATCACCAAAACCGACCCGGAAGCCGCCCCAGAGCCAGCGTATCAAATCGGCGGCAGCCTCGGCGACATGAAACGAACAACTCAGCCCGTCTCCCCCATCTCTTCACCCGTCTTGGTTCAACGCCCCCAAAACTTGTGGCACCCCATACAAAGCCTGGCCTAAGCACCACACCTTGGGTGTCCGCACATGTCTCCAGACGGGGGGAATGACCCGACTGCGATGATCGGACCCAGACCGCCTCAGACCAACAGCTCATCCACAATCTTTCGACCACCGGGTCAGCCGCACCCCCGTCGAACCCAAAGAAAGCCGAAGCGGCCTCTGGAGACTGCAGGCCCAGCCTGATTCCGCGGAGAACCCCGGAGAACCGCGAGGGTGATTCACCGGTGGAGACCCAATGAAACGCCGGTGCGGCAGAGTCGTAGACGAGGAACAGAAGGGTCTTTAGTATTTAGTAACTTTAGGGGACCTGACTAAGAGGCGTGCCCTTGACTTCACATAGGTAAAAATGCATATAATATATAGTAGAGTCTTCGGACTTCGAATGGGGAATGGGGAATGTACACTTGGACCTTCCAACAGGTCTTCAGACCCCGGCGGTTAGGTGGTGAGTTCCAACACCTGAGGCGGTGACCTTGGTGTTTTCACAGGAGACACCCATCTTGAAGGATCCAGGTTTAGACTCAAACACCTGAAGTCTCTACCAGCACGCCCAGGAGTTGGGTGGTTAATGGATACCCCTTAACAGCAACAGGGGCTATAAATAGACATCCCGACAGGAGGGTCCTGAAGTCTAGTTGCTGTAGCGCGACAATTGTGTCGATCACCCTCTCCCTACCATACCCCCTAGCATACCCCCTAGCCGCCACTGCGTATCAGGACAACCCCTCCTTCTTCGTCGGTTCCCGGTCCCGCGAACCCCCGGCGCATGCGGGGAGGGACCACCCCACGTGGCGACGAGTTGTTTTCACCGGGCGGAGTGTGGGTCAGTCCATGACTTCAAGGAGCGGAGGGCAGTCCGAGTTTGATAGGCCGTTTTGCTGCTTCTTCTTCCAGGCTTCGAGGGAGAGTGGGGGTTAGTTGAGCCTCGTAGGGGTGTCTTAGTTGCAGTCTTCGTAAGTCAAGATCATCCTATTATCATATTAAGATTCTTTCTTTAAATCTCCTCAAACCAGATCTCTTGGAGGACTTTCTATCTGAAAGTATCCCTCGGAACACGACAGGGACGCATGACCAGGATCCCTCCACCCTCCGCCACCGGGCTCCCCCGGCTTCTCACACAGCTCCCGCTCCATCTCCAATCGACGCTGCTCACGTGCGGAACATGGCGCGGCCTGGACAAACGCACGGCCTGCTGCGCGTCGCCGCACCGGGGGAAGACGAAAAAGTAGTTGGGGTCCTCCCAATGTCGGTGGTTTATAAGGGCCACCGTATCAAAAATATCTTTGAGTTTGCGGAATCATCTTCGATGGCATGGCCCTCAACTCCAGAGAGGTGGTGTTCACTCCACGTAACCGTGATGCCTTCAAGAAGTGTAGTGGCTCGACAAATGTTCACCACACCAAAATCGTTCAGCCCAGTTGGGTAAGATCAGAAGACCACACACTCGTTGTCCAGTTGGGTAGGATTCTTGTCACACCACACCCCTTCTCGGTGGCCTTTTTCGGCCGCTCCGCGGCAGGTGAACGGTTGAACTCTTGAACTGAAGGCTTCGACTCTTGCACTCCTTCTCGGTCTCCTTTGAAAAAACGGTTGCCAGTTCGGCAGTTCGGTGTGGCATACGGCAGGGTCTTTCTTCCATGAGCCTGTCACCAGGTGAGCATGCTGCTGTTGATCCTGTGACCCCTCTTCTCTCGGTCCCCGACCGCGCAGGATGCCTCAGCTGTAAGACCATTCACCTGGCGAAACCGTGTCGACCGACGGGAGCACGACCGACTGAGACGACCCGTCTCGAAAAGCTTCCCATCCAGTGACCCCTCGACCAGTCGCGACTGGAGTTGGGTGGTTCGTTTGGCTCGTCCCATCCAGCGAGTGGGTCACATCCACCCCCCCTATCCTTCCTCCAGATGGACAAATGGAATCAGATGGACGAAATGATCAACCGTAAGCAGCATGTCCGAGTGAAGTGGTCCAAAGTCGTCCTGACAGATCGAAGTCCAGATCGGAGAGAGCTGGGGAAAACCTCCTCAGGGATTGGCCCGGTTCCGGCGATGTGGAACAACCGAAGTTGGACTGAAAGAACCCAGCACCCAACTCTACAGGTCTCCGAAATGGAGGGTTGTTAGTGGGCCCGAAGAGGTCTCAAGTGGTGACCTGTTGGAAGGTCCTGGTATTTGGATCCGAGTCGAGGAATTCCCTGGACGTCGCTTCTGGCCCCCAAAAAGGATTGCTCTTTCGAGTGAGGACCCTAGGACATCTCCAAAACCCCTTCCGAATCGCTGTGCACCGGGCGCGGTTGACCGAGGAGTCTTCCCATTTTTGGCAGAGCCAGCGACCATATGGACAGCCCCCTACACCCTACCAAGGTCGGCGCTGCCTTCATGTCTTTGCCCCACTTGACCCCCATGCCTTCGGATGCCGTGAAACCATGGTGAAACAAACCCTCGACGCTGCTGACTCCACGCTCTCCGCTCGTCCCAGCCTCGCTCAGGCTGCTAAGGCCTCGAGGCTTAACGTGTTGGAGGCCAAGGTGAAACACATGGATCAATGAATGCCCCTACCTCTTGGTGACAACCACTTGGTGGTTGTTCCTGGACCTACCCTCATAACTCATAACCATCCAGAATGTCTACCAGCCCCCCCTACCTCACCTCTTGGAGCCAACTCCTTCACCACTCGGGACCTCGGGAAGGTAATGACTCCGGACCTCTGAACGCACGTCCGACCTTACAACGATGCACGTCAGACCCGACCGCGAAAACGACCTGCAGAAGCCACCTGCAGAAGCGTCCTTAGCACTTTTTGGGACTTCCGGACACTGATGTCCTTGCTTCTGGATGTCGGATGCAAGGTTGTTCCCTCCGGATGCACGGTTTCGCACGCGCACAACCTCGTTGGCTCTCTGCGCCCAACCTGCGAGGCCTCCCTGCCACCGAGCTGCCACCACCACGCTCCGCTCGCTCCGCTGCTGCCCCCCCCCCCCGTCGGGGAGACGCCCCCAGCGGCCCGTACGCCGGCACCCGGGGAGTCCCGGGGGGGGGGGGGGGCGGAACCCCAAAAAACACGCCTGATGAACTCACTATGGACCCTGTGGTTTTGGCACCCTGAAAATGTTTTTTCCTTTACAAACCTACAAACCAGTGGTTTTCAGGGTCCGGGCAAATGATTCGGCTGATGTAGGCCTAATAGGTTTCGAACCCCCACGCCATGGGCATGGACTGGTCTTTGGCCATGCGGAGATGCCTGTCATGCACCTCTGAAACTCGCCGCATGCGACCACCGCCCTCATCCACTCGGACAAAAGGGGCGGGTCAGGTGTGTGATTCACAAAAACACATGCAAAACGGCTGCGTGGGGTCGGAATAGGTCCCAGTGCTTGGGGTCCAATTCGATGGCTCTTCTTCCGTACCGAACCAACGGAGCCCTGCGCATTGGCGCATCCCACCAAGGCCGCCGGACTCTCCGCCGCCCGTGAAAGCCTGGCCAGGCAGCGAAGGAGGGAACTAATTGAAGGTATATAGACCTCGGGTTTTAGTGAATAGACCTGCGACGCTTTTTACTATACCTCAAGATTTCTTCAGGTTTTGGTTTGTAAGGTATATATACCCTAGCCTTCAAAGACCATTGAAAAGAGTGGTTGACCTGGCTTTGTAGTGTAAAAAAGTGTAAATAAGCCTTAGTAAAACAAGGGTTGTTTGACAAAAACCATTGAAACAGTGGTTCTTGGAATCTCAGAATTTAGATCAAAAAAATGTCTGATCACATGGCCGAATCCAAGATCTTGATTTAAAAAAAAGCCTACTGATCAGGTGACCCGAAGAGGAAGAAGTTCCTTCGCTTCGGTGGTACCAAAGTCTTCAGTCTTAATTTGGGCTTTCAGAAACAAAAAGATTCTGAAAGTTGTATATGTAAGTGACCCAACATACAATCACACCTGAACATTTACGATTTTACGATACCCATTTGTCCGCTCTCTCTCTCTCTCTCTCTCTCAGTCAGTGATCTTTCGCCACGTCCTCGATGTGCAACATGTATTGGTTTCGTGCCGCGTCGTTTTCGACAGTAGTGCTGAAGAAAGAGCCGAGAATTCGCCTGTTTGTGTCACTGTTCTCACCCATTGTTCAAGCAACATGTTCCATAAGCGCGGCCATTGATAGTGTTTTTGTAATGCAAGGGTTGATTGCCACAACGAGTCACAACGAGGCCATCAAGGGCTGTGACCAGCAAACTTCCGGGAGTCTCCTCATCCAAACTGGAAGGATGGACTCCGCATCCTTCTGCAGCTACAGCCAGCTCCGTGGCACCAACGGGCAGTAGAACATTGCGAAATGCCAGACAACGACAAGCAGAGGCTCCAACGACCAGAGGACAGACCTTCCGCCTGTTTGACTGGCGTGATCCTCACAGTCAGGTCTCAGGTCAAGTCAACCAACTGACCAGTGCGGTCCCCGATTGCGGTCAACGCCGCTCCTTGGCCGTGTGTGGGGGGGGGCCTCACCAGTGCGGCCGTGTGGAGCTTCCACGGTCTGGACATGTTTTTGTCGGCAGAGCCTGCACGTCTTCGGCCTCGGTTTAGGCAATCGGAGCCGAAGGAAGAGTGAGACAGCAATCATGAGTCAGACGGCAGTCATCGCAAACACACTGCGTCGACGTCTCTGTCAACAATCAAGCTCTGTAGGCACGATGCCAATGTAGGAGCCTGAGTCTGAGCATGCGTCTGAATAAGGTACGACCTTCCGGCAGACTTGACGAATTGTTGACGTATGCTGTGCTTTCACGAGTTTTCTTGACGTCCAGGACCCTTTTTAGCAGCGTTTTTGCACTGCCAAAAGGTGTGACATATTTTTTGGGAGTCAGCAAACCAAATTGGTGCAATGCAACTAGATTGGTAGCCCTCAGTCATGGCCATGGAACCAAAATGTAATGGTGTTCAGTGTTCATTGGCTGGGAACATCCTGTGCGAAGACCTGAATATGTTATATATACAGTAGTAGTAGTATTTAATAGCATTCTAGCTACAAACGCTTGCATCATGCGCATGAAACGTTGTGCAACTCCATCGGCACGAACATTTGCACCTTGTGCTGGAGCTTGTCCTCCTTGTCCCATCGTTGTTTCTTGCTTGCACTGACTGCAAGTGATGCTTTGCCCATAGAAGCTCGCATGGGCTTTCGTGCTCAAACATGGTGTCCAGGACAGAAAAGAGCCCAGCTCATTGGTGGAGAATGGAGTTTGGAGACAATAGGGTCATTGAAAGACCACACGCAGCACGCCCCTCAGCACGCCCGCAGCCAACCAGGCGGAACAAGCGGTCAGTGACCGACACAAGCGGTCGGTGACTGAACACTTCGATTTCCGGAGACCATCGAAAGGGTCTTCTTTGGGGGTTTGAGTTGGTAAGGTGAGGTGCTCATGTTGGTCAGGAATGCCCCCCCGGTATGAATGAGGCGAGACTGGCGAGACTTGGTGGGTGTAAAGGCATGCGCTTTGCGGAGGCTTCAGCGAAAGTCTCCGACCCAACCGCGCGAACGAGAACGACTCCAACTGCGCCGGTCTGGCCATGGGTCCGGATGCTGGACGCATAGGTTCTGAGCATGGCAGGAGAATTGGAGATGATTGCCGCCCTCTTCCGAAAATATCGGGGATGGCTACCAGACCACCCATCAACCCACAGGTCCCCTGAACCCCTGGAATAAGTACTTAGGCCAACCCTATCAGAAAATGCCACTGATGTTCTTCTTTGGAATTGGGGATCTTTACAAAGGCATCCGTAGAATCCTCAACTGGCAGCCAAGTAGAGTTGAAAGTCTTCGATGAACCTCGCGTCATGCAGCGAGCCCTCAAAGCCCCATGTTCTGTTGCTTTCACTTCTCGCCCCGAAGGCTCCCCGGCGGGCGGACACGGCTGGGCGGCCAAATTACCTGAGAAACGGGGTGCGGAACGGAGTGCCTGGGGCGAAGTTCTTCGCCATCCAATCATTGGGAACCCCAAAAGTGGAGTTCATCGCATGAAGGTTCATGACATGCGGAGGACTCTAGGCTTCTGGGACTGAGTACATAGAAAGATTGATCGTTCAATCGATTCCAAGCAGAATCGCAATCTGATTGACCCCAAAGCAAGAAACAAACCACTCCCCACCCCATCCCCCTCTCCCCACGCCCTTCACCTGGATCGGGTCGCTCAAAAAACCCCACCCTGGACCGGACCCGAACGGTCGCGGCGTTTTGAACCCCTTCTCCCGGCCTCCACCATGGGCCCGGAGGGGCTCCCATCGCTGGGAGATCGGTTCCGCTCGGGTTCCGCTCGGTGTGAGACCAACGACCCCAGCAGATGGATCTAGCAGCGGCTGTGATAGAGATAGAAACTCGGCCGGGTCGGTGAGTGCCGACGAGTCTGAAGGGCGAGGGCGATGTCTTTCTTTGAAGATGAAGAGTTTCTTCCCATTTCGCTGCAAGGAGATAGGGAGGGCTCATGGCACGTCTTCAGTCCACTTCCGTGGCGCTGACCTCTTCTTTCATGTCGCGTTTTGGTTTTGACCGAGCCAACTGAAAACGCCACGGGATGTTCCACGGCACGAAACAAACCCATGTTTTTAAATGCTTGACCTGGTCTTTGGTGTCAAATCCGTAAAGCAGCCCTGGAAACAGGGATGAAGGGCTCTTCTTCGGTGCCACGCATCCGGCGGGGGCTCACCCGTCCGTTCTTCGTTCCGCCTAGCTCCCTCACCGTCTCTCCGAACATTCACGGTGAAACCCCCGCCCCAGTGGAATTGGGCAAGACATGCCAATACAACCAAAACCTGAAGAATCTGGTATTCAATCTTGGCCAGCCATCTTCATGACGGTCCCTGTCTGTCTCAGCCATCACAGCCAGAAATTCCCCTGACGGAGCCAATATGTGACACAACCCTTGGGATCTGAAACATGGAGGGGCGCTCTCTCTCTCTCTCTCTCTCTGAGAGGGCCCTCTAAATGAACGTCATCTTCGTCCAAGGCTCGGTACTTCCTGTACCGAATTCCTCCATGTCACATGTGTCGGTCTCTCTCAATCCAACGGTCCTTCGAAGGTCCCTCCACGCATCCTCTGCACCGCAGCTGGGTCTTTTGCTCACTTACCCCTGGTCGGCTCCGCGGCCGCGATCTCGCCGCCCGAGAGCCGCTGCGCGGCCGATCTGGCCCAGGCGAGGGAGGTGCCGAAGCAAAAACAGGGAGGTTGCGACCCATTGGAGAAGTTTGAGAAGAGGATCCACATGAAGATGGATAGGGCTGCTGAGAAGTTTGCGGGGGATCGAGAGTTGGAAGGTCTGCAAAAAGGGCCAACAATCCTGAAAAGAGATCTTTAAAAAACAACATATATTTAAAATATATATATATATATTTATCCTGTCGTCATCTCGAGAAAGCTCTCTTTTTGGGGGACATCAGGTTCTTTGACTCTACCGGATCGTAGAGGATCCTCTGTTTTGCGAGGTGGTGGCTCGAGGTCATGGACGTCACTCGAGGTCATGGACGTCCGTATGTCCGACCCAACCAGTGAAGATTGCCGAATGAACGAGGACAACCACGCAAATGGGTCGTCCACGCCTAGTGAAGGTGGCCAGGTTGGAGGAAAGGACCCACAAGCAGAAGTTGAAGGCCAGAAAACCTCGGTTTTGTTCGGTGGACGCAACACCGGTGCGGGCTGTCTCGTCTGGGAAGCTGCTGCTGGGAGAAAAGCACACCACAAGAATGGGACAAGGACAGAGTCAAGCTTTTTCGATAAAACATCCCTCTTGGTGCAGATCATATCATCCAAAGATCTTTAACTTTAGTGCTGGCATGTGCTGGCAAGGGGTTGGGGAACGAGCTCCGAGCTCCAAGCTCCCTCCGAGCCGTCGCTCGGCTCCGGTGGCTCCGGCTCACCCGGGGAAACTCGTGGTCCACGGGGCCAACGGCGACCGAGCCCAGCCAAACTCGGGTTTTAAGGGGAAAAACGATAGGGAAGCACAGCCCAAAACCAAGTCCAACAGCCCAGCCAAAATCTGAGCCACATTTGGAAGATTGATGCAGACGGTGTCCTTGTTTCTGATGTTATAAATATGCTAAAAACAAAAACAAAACTCATTGCACCATGCCCCACCCCAGCCCGCACCTGGAGCGCTCTTGTGGAAGGTGTCCCCGAACAAGCTTCGACACAGCTCCAACCTGGGCGGAAATCCCAGCGAGCAAGTTGAAGTAGGTGAAAGAGGAGTGAAAAAGATAGACATGCAGTGTGGATCAGTAGGAAAACCATTCGAAAACATGTGAGGTGTTTCTTGGAGGATGTTTAAGGCTTGAGTAGCATCCTCGTTCTCAAAGACAGACGATCGCCTTCCTGGCGCGATGGCTAGCGGCTACCGGTGAAGGGCCCCTACGCAGTGCCCTGCACCCCTTCGTTTCCTTCTTCTTCTGCAGAGAAAAACCCAAACCCACCGCGGTGTTCCCGTAAAGGGGACGCAGGCGAAGGACCCGAGGGACCCGAGGCCCGAGAGGCGAGGCACGTCGGGACAAAGGAGCGAGACAAATCGTGGTGTGGACACTGAAACGACACGAAGAAAGGCGTTGATCGCCTCCCCATTCATCGGGCGAATCCAGAAAACCAGTCTATGCAAACATCATCTCTGTCCCAAAAATCTTCATCTGGACCTCTTGCTCCGCAACGCTGCTGGTCTGACGTGCAGCTGTCTCTGCCTTGTTTGCTTCCCGCTTTCTATTGGCAAACAAGAGCCGTTTGCTATCGGACTCCAACCCTATCTCCACATCGAAATAGGGCTGTTGTTGATAGTTGAGGAGCAAAGATGCCGGGATGCATCCTGAGAACACAACTCTTTGCCTTTGCCCTCGTGAAAAAATTCTTACACGTTTGCTGCCATGGTTTCTGGCGATTTCTGCCTGTGAAGATCCCGCAGGCCTCCGCTCACCACCCGCGGACTGCAACCCAGCCGCGAAGGTCGACAAAGGAAAATGGCTTGCCAGGCACTTTGGCCCAGACCTGCACTTGTCGAGGGGTCGGACAGCCCAAAGGTCTGGTTTGCCAAACAAACACTGTGGGGTTGTCAATAGGGCAACAGAGTTTTCCACCCACTGTATGGTCCCACGGTCCCACTGCATCGCGGAACGAAAACTTGTTCTTGACAGCCTTTCATTGTTATGGGTGGAAACTACAGAGCGCAGCGTAGCGCTGCATACTAAACTTCCTTTCCTGCCGGGGCAAAGCAACGAATGGAAAGGTTTGCTATAAAGCCAGCACTCAACACCAACTCCTGTGGGTCACTGAGCTCCACACAAACACAAATAACACACACGCAACACACACGACGCAAACACAGATCCAGCGCCCAGACGCCCGGATAAACGGGAACCCTTCGCTACGCATTCGGTGTCCAACCTTCATCGCGAGCCACTCATCCCAGGTGTCCCATGAACGAGTTGTCGAGTTGAGGCGAACGGTTTTGTGTCCCGTCGAATTTGTTCTTAAGGGAAAATCGACCAGGGGAAAACCCCCTGTCGTTTTTTTGGGGTGTGAAAAACATGTTGTCTTTCCTGTCGATGTGTTTCCCCCTTCTCAACCCCTCGAATGAATTCGGATGCCTTGTTGGATCTGACACACACACACACACACACACCCACGCACGCACGCACGCACGCACACGCACACACGCACCACGGCACTTCGCACGTCATGACCCACGCTCCTTTGGCACGTCATGACTGGCCGTGTGCTCTTCACGCCTTCTAAGGAGGGGTGTTCCACTGCACGTGCCCAAGCACTGCCGGAGGGGCCTGGAGCGGACCCGGCAGAACCTATGGGCAAAACAATGGCAAAACGAATAGTAAAAGGACTTTCTTTGATTTCCGTGGTGCAGAGTCTTTGGACAGGGGTCATATCTTCTTGGTATCTGGTCGGTCCGGTTCCACCATAGAAGAAGGGTCTTCTCGCCTCTCCAAGGGTTGGCCCACTTGGGGACGGGGGGGTCTGATGATTGTGGAACCCGCACCGTGCCTGCCATGAGCGCCCAGGTGAGGCCCAAGGCAGCGCCGCGCGCCACGTGGAAGCCCTCAAGGGACCTCGCGATTCCAGCCATCGCGGGAGCATGGGCGGGTTTCGTTGGAACCTCTGCTTGCTTGGGCCATTCTTCGTATCCGGCACCACCCATTTCTGATGGTGATTGGAAAATCCCTCGGATTAGGGGTGGTGGATTAGGGTAGGCATGAGATTAGTATTGGCCCTGGAATTCCAAGACTCTTTTCACACTTTCAGGAGAGGTGTCTTGTGAGGGTCACCTGACACTTTCACACTTTCACACTTAGGGTAGGTATGATCCTTAGTATTGCTCCTGACCCCAATTGGGGCCTTTTCACCGCGCAGGTCACACCGGGTTCCCCGGGTTACCCGGTTCCTTTTAACGGACCGGTCCGGTCCCTTCCGCAGCGCTTCAGCGGGGAGGGTGTGGTGTCTTTCGGACCCCCGGGAAGGGACGATCAGTGGAACTTCCCATGGTGGTTGGTGAATGTTGGTGGGCAAAGGTCAGCAAGGTGACAGGCGGAAGTTCATGCAACCACTTGACAAGTCAGCTGCGTGGGCAACGGATTGCAGCTGCTTGGGGTAGCATGGCTCCAAAAGGAGGATTTGGCACCGGGAACAGGATGTACAGCTCAATTCCAGCAAAACAATTCCAGCGTGAAGAAGCCAAACTTCGACCAACCATCGTTGATGTGCTCTTCGCCTTGCTGAAACACTTCACGCCCACAGTGTGAGAGCCGAGCATTTTCCGGCCCAAGTAACTCCAAATTGGGGAGCCACAGCACCACTGCCAGCAAGGTGCACCACACATCCGCCACACCTGCCAACAGTGAGGTGTTACACCGAGGGGAGCACACTCTGGTGTAAACATCATGCTCACACGACCGTAGTCCGCAGATGTGGGGATCAAGTAGAAGAGGGTCTCTTAGCTTTCCCTTCCCAGGCGTCCCAACCCCCGTGGAAGGGAAAAATAGACCCGTCGAACATTGGTCCAGGGTGTCTCCCTAAAAGAACACACCCATCTGGTACCTGTTGACTTCAACAAACATGTCGCACATGTTTGTGCAACCAATCCATACTGCCATATTTCTGCTGGCGCGACTCGGACCTGGATGGCACTTGGCATAATGTAGACTCTTCATACATAAACCGTTCAGATTGCAGGGCCTCTTCATATGGGGGTTTGAATAATCAAGAGTCTACATGAGCTGTATACAGCAATGGCTGTCCCAGTGTGATCTCTCTTGTGTCCCACTGCAGGCTGGCGCCTCCCTGCCAGCCAGCAAACGGCTGGCCTGCAGCACATGCACCTGCGAAACGCACGTCGTGGCCCCCTTTGAGGGAAGATCGGAAGAAGGTGTTCCTTGCAGGTTCAGTGACTTCCACCATGTTCATGCTTAGGTTTGAGATAACTCCTAAAGAATAGGTTTCACGGTTTCACCATCCTTCATGTCGCTTCACATGGAGAGCTCAGCTCTGTTCCATCTGCCCCCCTTCCGCTCTTGCCCCTCCCACCTAGCAACAGATCCCCGAGTTGTGCCACAGGCCAAGCCCAAGTGGCCACCCGCGCCGTGTCAGCACTCTCGGCGGTGTAGGCACTGTAGGCAATTGGAAGCACCAGAGTCAGCCAGACGAAGAAGGCAAAACTGGGAGACACGAGCTTGTGGGTACCAGAAGCTTCCTACCTAGAACCCGCTTGACCTCTGTTTGGATATTAAAAGACCGTGTTTGGGCTCCAAAACAGGGGTCAATCAGGTTCTATGAATATACTACTATATAATCCTGTATATATATATATTATCCCTAAGAATTCCAAGAACCATTGTCTTGAAGGTCTGAATCCTAAAGAACCAAGCTGTTTTACTCTGGATTCTAGACTACAAAAACCAGGTTAACCATTCTTTGAATGGTCTTTGAAGGCTGGGTATGATTTCATCCCGCTATTCATGAATCAGCCAATAGAAAAAGGCTATCTATGGTTGAGTCAAAGTTGCAATGTCGCTGTATTTGGCAAATGAGGACTTGTTGGTGTCTGTGAAGCTGGGATTCTTCTTGACAGTGAGACCAGAAATATCATTCTGTCTTAAACTCCTCGAGCTTCATCCCAACCTGTCTAAGTCAGTATGCAGTATGCCCAATTTACACCATGAACTAACACACCAAAGCAAAGACTCCCATATTCTGAACCTCAAAGCTTTCGGAGTAAAGTCATGCAAGGGCGCTATGGGTTTCTGGGCCGTGACAAAAGCAAGAATCCAAGTCTGGCTCGCTTCATGCAAGAGATCTTCACCTCTGACACAACCCATGTGGCGGGTGGGCCAAGAACCAAAACAACCAAAACAAAACCTTCACCAGCCTGAGAACCCTTTTCTTCAGCGCCCCTTTTTTTTCACTCCAACTCCAACCGCGCCTCAACTCCGAACCAATTGATCACCACCAAGAGCCTCCCGCGAGGTTTCGCCCGCTCCCGGCGACGGGTTTCCGCCAGGCGGCCACCCCAGCCGTCTGGAACGCTCCAAGGCGGACAGCAGCCCTGACGTGGCGCTCCGCACGGGGCTCCGCGGGGCCGCCAGGGCCAGCAGCGTGGCCAAGGCGAGCGTCGAGGCGAGGGGTGCGCTGGGAAGAGGACAGGCCTCCTCGGTGAGATGTGGAAGGCGACCGGACCCTCCGACCCTTTGAGATCCCGGCTGAGGTCACGAACAGGTCTGTAAAAGGTCACGTAGACCAATCCTGAAAAGGTGGGAAGGTCCTAGTAGGAGGATGTGTTTTTCCAGGTGAGTTTGGAGTGATTTCGGAGCGATCCATGAGTCGTTATAAGGGCGGCTGATTTCAGCAAGTGGGAGGAAAGTAAACTGTTCTCCTGGCAGAGATTGGGGAGTTCTGGAAGCACAAGTGGAAGACATGGAGAAAACATGCCAATGCCGGTTTAGTAGGTCCACCTCCCTGCCCACCCCCGCCGTTCACGGTTTCACCAGGACACCGGCTCCCACAGGGGTCGCAGCAGCAGCTGGCAGGACAGCAGCGTCCTAAAGCCCACCCCGTCCCATCCCACCCCTCCATCCTGGTGGGCTGGGACTGAGAGGTGAGAAATGGCACAAGTTCCCCCAATGTCGGTGGTTTCGTGGTGGCCCCCGATCTGTCTAAGACATCTTTGGGTCTATGCCATCTACTCTGAAACCACTGTACGTAAGTGAAGTGGATCTGTCTTCAAGTCCATTCATTCTCGCCGGCGTCTTTTCTTAGGATGAAACAGTTCACCTCTAACCACACCTTTAATTAATGTAGACTCTTGATCTAAAAGAAAAAGCTTGGATCGTAAAACCCCTTCCAGGTGGAAAGTTGCAATAAAAATCTCTCAAGTCTACCCTACACCTCTGGCTCTCCTCCACCCGGCTCTCTCCACCAGCCGCCCCCACGGCAGCAGCACCGCCATCGCCAGCGCCGCCGCCGGCAGGGCACCCAGCGCACGGCCGACGCCTCGCAACCGACGGCTCACCGGCACGGCTCGCCGTCCTCGGTTCCATCAGCTTCTTGCTCTTAGTAGCAATGCCCTGTGTTCCTAGAAGCATTCTTGCTACTACTAGTAATGCCAAGTGGGCCGGTCAACTTGATCAATCACTTCGATTTTCTTGATTGATCCGTGCCGTGATACAAGGAGTTGAAGGTTCAGTGGCCGTCAAACATGCTCGCGGTCGTTTCTTGCGATGTCGCACGAGATTGATTAGAAAGGATACCAAAAAAGCCGACTTAAAAGTTGCATTCGGAAATGAAGATGTCCTTCACTCCTAGAAGTTAGAAGCCTCAAGGCTTGACCCGATGAAACGGATGGCACCTCTCATCTCAAAGTGTAAGTTTTCAGAATGGCCTTCTCTCGAACAAGCCCTCGTTCTGGTGAATCAACCTTCCGGCAACTTGGACCCTTCTCTGCAACAAAACCGCCCACCGATTTGGTTTTCTCGAGCACCTCCAGCTTCCACCTCCTTCTCACCCCATCCTCCACGGCTCACGCTGCGCTCCTTCACGGAGCTCAAACCCCGCAGCCAGCAAGAGCACCTCCACGGCCACCTACGCACGCAGGGCGAGCCCGGCAGCGCGGTGCGGTGCGTCCGGTCTCCGGATCCTTTTCGGCTTCACGCACTGAGTCGAAATCGAAGCTCTGGGGACTGGAGCTTTTCCACAGAAAGTGTGTTCACAGGGGGGGCGTCCTCGTTCTTCCAGAAGGGCCCCCCCGCACACACATGCCCAACCCGCATCAACCCGCCCCCCAAAAACGCAGGCACGGCGTTGGGTCTTGGCGCCCGGAGGCTCGGAACGGCCCTCGCCTCCGGACGCTGCGTGAAGCCGCTCACGGCGCTGCTCTGCGACCGAAGGTGCTCGGAACCTGGAAGCTCGTGCCCAAAACGAGCCACAGGGGTTGAAGAGCCCTAGAGACTACCCCATAGGTGCTCCAATAGTGTCCTCTAAGGTCGCTTGACCTTGGTTGTGAGTCCTGTTGAGCATGAGAAAAGGAGAGAAAAGGGCATGAAAACAGTCTTTTGCCCCCATTGACGCCACCCAACGGATGCCCCTCAAAACAATATCTTCTTCAACCTGATCAAAACGATTCAAAACGACCTTATGTCTGCGAAAGTTCCTTTTTAGAGTTCACCATCGGATGCTCCAACCATATTGCATTTTAATGGGGACGGTAGGCTGGTCGATTTTCCGAACCTTCCGGGTCGAACTGCCAGGGATCCCTTTTCTCATCGAACGCACCCATACTTTGTCCCATTGAAGTGCAGGAAGTTAGTACGGCTCAAGCAACTGACCCTGCTGTAAATCTCCAGCTGCATCTCCCCCACCCACAGCATCCCGCCGTGTTCGGGCCTAGGATCTCTGACGAGGTGATCCACAGCGCGGCCAGGCCCTGCGCACCCAGCACCGCCCGACGGCGCCGGGCCTCCGCCATGGCATCGGATCTCCGGTCTCGGCGCGGTGTGCCAGGTGGGGGAAGGTGCAGGCGGGCCAAGGACCGTGGAAGAGGGCGACGCCTGGACCTGGCAGTCGACACCGACCTGGATGAAGGGAAACGAGCAAAAGTCAGCTCCAAATAGCTAGGCCGGCTGCCTTTTTGGTCTGGCAATCCGCAGCAAACCTTGTGGTTTGGCCTTGACAGTCATGCTGTGCAAGGACTTGGCTGGACAGTTTGGCTGCGCAATGCTGTGCATCTGTTCCACAGGTTTTCATGTTGGTGTCAGACCTTCTGTGAGTCTCATTCGGTCTCATGGATCTCAAAGCGGATTGTTCTTGATCCACTGCAGCTACCCCACAAACTCACTGAGAGCAAAGCAAAAATGCCCTTATATAGCCCAAGATCTGTGGATCTTCCCCAAAAGCCATCTGAAGCTCATAGGCAGGGCATCCCGGTCAAAAAGGCGAACCGTTTTCAGCACCTGAACGCGACAAAGGACGAACTGCAAAGCCTCTTGTCTCCGCAGCGAACACCCACGGTCGCTGAAGAGAACTCCGTTGAACTCCGGGGCCTGCGCACGGCGGCATGGGACATTGGCCGCCATGTACGGTGGAAGTTCTCCTTCAGCTTCAAGGCTCCCTGTCTCTTGGCTGAAATTGGTTCAATGTCCTTTTCTCATGAGCTCCAAAGTGATACTTCTAGTCTTCGCTTGACTACTTCATTCTTCCACAAATCCTTGCGTGTGGCCTTCAGCCGCCTCAGCATCTCACATTCACGTAGGCGGCGAGTCGGACAACTCCTGAGGGTTCAGAGAAAAGTTGGCCAAAGCTGGAAATGCGAAGGAGAAATCAAAATATATAAGTAAGTCACACAGGGACCCATTGCATTGGCAAAACTAAAAGCCCCCATGCCAGGTTGTTGGATGATTTGATCCTCTTTTCTTGGCCCCAACGAAAGCACAAACAACTTTATATACCTAACTAACGCAGCTTATACAACTAACGTGAGAAAGCTGAGAGATGTGTTTCTTGAGGTGCTGTATGATTGATGATCACATGTCTCGCCACTCCTCCACAATGGCTCGCCACTCCTTCACACCAACCTGCGTGGCTCAAACAAAGAGTTCCGGCATCACCTCGGGCAGCTCCAGGATGGAGCCTCGGAGGCTCGGTCGGGTGGGGTGTTTTCGAGGCGCTGCAAGTGGCGGGTCCAGCAAAAGCAGCTATCTGCACGGGTCCACCAACTCGCACGGCTTCGCTGTCCTTTTCTCAACCACACGGCTTCGCTGACGGCCAAGCCACCAATGTGGAAATCTGCCTCCTGCGTCGGCGCTGCCCCGCCTGGTTCGTCTCGTTTCAATCTGGTTATATAACTCGTGGTAATACCAGCCATGCTTGACTTGGCCGTAACCTCAGTACTACGACCGGACCCTACAAAAAACCGGAGATGAACCCTCCTGCTCATGTCATCTCCAGTATCTCATCTCCAAGGGAGGCAGGAATCTCAAACAATACCACTTGAATGGTCGTCGTTTCTCTATAGGTTCTGTCTCCCCAAATAGGGGTTCCACACAAATAGACAGCACACCACACACCTGGGCCAGTTCCACCCAAGTCGCCCAAATAGTACACCTGGATGGATCTTCCCTTACCCTACCCTGGCCTACCGCCCTCCCCTGCCATCCTCGCACTTCACGGCAGAGCCATCCAGACGTGCCCTGAGGCCCACCAGCACCACCCGCCAGCCCAGGCGCTTCGCTGCACGGACGTTCTGGCAGCCTCGCATCTGCACCAGCCCACGTTCGCTCGACGGCCCCCGAACAACGCCCCCAACCGCAGCGCGGGGCGTTCGCGCAATCCCTGGAAACCCAGTCCCAACCAGAAAACAACTGGTTCCGGCGCCAGCTGGAGAGCCTTGACGTAGGAAGGGGCGGAGTCGAGACACATCCATCACGTGTTTCTGGTCGGGACTGGATTTCCAGGAGCCAGCTGAACTTGGCGAAACTTGGGTTTTCGTCTCGGGTCTCAGCTGGAGAACTTCGAAATGTCGTGACCTCTTCCGTTCGTGACCTCTTCACAGGCCTGTTGGTGACCTCCCACGCCCGGATGGTTCTACTCAGGTAGATACACCAACCACGCCAACCTTGCTGAACTGTTCGGATTCAATTCCACGCACTAGACGCACGCACGTGGCTGTGCAACAACGTCCACGCACTGGGTCTACATGGGTCTACACACGAGTCTAGGACTTTCGCGACCACGGTCCCGACGGGCTGTAGCAGCGGAATCGGCCCAGGCTCCCCAGCTGTCGTCACAGAGGATGCAGTGCTCTGGCCTGACTCACTTGACAGACACGAGAGAGAGCCCATGCTTGTATAACCTTTACTTCCAAGAAACTGCTGCTATAAGCTGCTGCCATGCAAAAGAAGGAGCTCAGCGAAGCCCCGTCCATTGCGGTCCGGGTCTCAGCCCCCCGCTCCCCATCGGTCCCCGGCCTCTGAACCCCCACCGTCTCCATGGCCACTTCAAAGCTGCAGCGGCTGTGCTTCGTCTGGAGCCTGGAAGGAAAACGACGGGCTGCCTGCGTGTCGCACCAAAGGAAGAGCCTTAGCCAAGGCCTGAAAAGCGTCGGCCCAGGCAAGGGACCACCAGGGCGGTTCCCCCCCCTTAACACTCTTCAAATATCACTCTTCCATCTCTGGTGCCTTGGAATCGCTTCCATCGCTTCCGGATCACGGCGCATCCGCGGCGCCTGCAGTCGCGGGTGTCGATGATCCCTGCCAGCTGGCTTTCGGGCACGCCCAGGCGGCTCAAGCCTGGGAACATCAGAGTGCAATCCGAAGGGGAGGACCATCCGTTGTTCAACAAGAAAGGAAAGAAACACGGGAAACAGAGTTACAAGGACCATCCCAATACCATTTTTTTTAATTCCATCCACTTCCACTATTGGAGGGAGAGTAAAGAATGTATAAAAGACGTGCAGGTGACCCCTCCGAAATGCGAAGCGAGGCAGACCAGCGGTCAGGCAGACTACGCTGCTTGCCATGTGAATGACTTGGTTTCTGAAAGCTCAGAATGAGCTCTGTTTCCCTACGCTCTGCAGTTCCCAAAAAAACACCTGCCCTTCTTTTGTTGATGACGAAACCCAGACTTCGCAGCTCAGTAGGTCCTTACGCTCTCACTTCTCCGAGCCCCCGAGCAGCGCTGCGCATGCCTTGGGGACCCGGAGGCTCTCGTGGGATCGTCCTTTGGGGCTAACCAAACATGGTACAACCCCCCCTCGTCCGGAATGTAAAAATGAAGAAAAGAACGACCCTGGCGTTTCTTCAATAAAAGTGCTCTTCAAAAGGCTCATGGCATTTATATAAAACGACCGTCGTCGGCGGCGAGGACGCTCTGGGCGTCCGGTCTCTGCGGTGGCGGCCGTGAAAATCCACGGGCGTCGCTGGAGACGCGACAACAGCCGCACCAAGTGCGGGTCGGGAGCAATGTCCTTGGGTAAGCAAAGATGGAGGTCGACGTCTGGTGGCGAATCATTCTTGCAACCAAATTCACGTCGAATCGAACCCCCCCAAGGAGAAAGGGAAGGGAGATCCGAGCAGGGTGGAGCCTGGAAGAAACTTGGCTTTACCTTCAACACATTGATAGCTTGGAGAAAACCATTGGGGTAAACTTTGGTTCGAACTCCAGGACTCTGTGCCCACCTACTCGGTCCACGAAACAATGGTTCTTTGCTTAAAGATCATCAAAGCGATTCTGGGAATTCCAGGCAGAGTACTGTACTGTACTTCATTTCTGCCAGCGCCAAGGAATTCACCTGGAGCGACACGGGAACTGACCCAACTCAAAGATCGAATGATCCATTGCCCTGGTCTTGCAACTATTGGCCTTAAAAGGAAAAAAACAAACAGCAACTGTTCGAGCTCACCTGGAACAAATAACTTGTGCTCATTCTGTCTGAAGCCCTCCCTCTCCCCTGAAAAGGCCCCGTCGGAGTAGTCGATGGCATGCACCTCACGTAGATACCTGAGCGCCATGTTTCGGCATTGCGACCGGGTTTGCTGCAGAAAGAAAAAAACCTTCTCTTAGAATGCACGGAACAAACCCGGTCCAAAACCCGCCCGTAGAAGCACTGCGGCAAACGTGGTATTGGTATGTATTGGTACCAATGGGTACTGGGTGGTTGGTCCTTTGGTGCTTTGCGCACCAATCTGGACCCAATGCCTTCGGGTCTCAGTGCCTTCGGGCCGGGGCACTCCTCGGCACCCTCCTCATCCAGGATGCCCTCAGCCAAGAGACCTCTCAAACAGGTGCCATGCTCTTCATACCTCAAGGACTCCATCGACCACGGCACTCCACGGAAGCGTCATGCGTCGGAAGCGTCGGCTTCGAGGCTTGGGACCTGAACCAAAAGGACATCCAAAGGACCTGAACCGGGGGTTCTTCTGACGAAAGGCTCCAAGATCCGTTTTTCGGACGAAAGGCGCGCAGAGAGCGGTGTCCAACCCTGAAACAGGCGACGCGGCGACACCTAATGGAGCGGTGTCCAGCTTGCGAGGCTTTTGCGGATGGTTTGTATCGTGCGTGCAAAGCACGGTGGAGATCTACAGAGGGACACGGGATGAAAACAACAGGAAAGCTCCAAAAATGCCAGATCACCCTTCCCAGCCTACTAAAAATAGCTAGGCTTCAAAGCGAAGGCTTTCTCTTTGCTCACTTGCAATTGCTCAGTGTAGACAGCGATGCTCTCCTGACTCACAAGAAAAAGACCCGACAACCCGACCACTATCCGAAGTGACCAAGCTATTGAACCCCCACACCCTGCGTCAGTCACCGTCTGCGGGCCTTCAGCTTTCATAAACTGGAGATTCACATTATAGTACCCTGGGAGTCCAAGACCATCTTTGAAATAGTCTTTGGGTGACCCCAAAAAAATCCTTTACTTCGGTGGTCCCAAACATAGTCTTTTGATTTCCAAAGTATGGTTAAGTTATATTTGTGTTCTCCAAAATCAGCTGTGCATGACCAGCCCTCAAGTAAGGCCATATGGCTGCACAATTGTTGCATGCCTTTACCTCTTCCCGGGGGGCCAGTGGAAGGTGGTCCCCCTATTCCAATACACACCCACATGCATGAAACTAATTATTGTTTGATTGCTTGGAAACATCAACATCTGCTGCAAACATCCTCAAAACAGGTAGAGTATGGACCAAAAATATTTCCTTGCAGTAGATCCTTCGATTCCCGGATTGAACATACACACACAACATTTGGTTGGGCCAGGTCGTCCAACGGTCCCTTTGAGGGGAAAATCTCTGGTCGACCCCACTCCACCCTCCCAAGAGTTCTCCGCTGAAGCTCTGTAATCTTCTGGGCAGTGCTCCAGTTGTTCTGGTAAAGGCAGTCATCACAATCCTTAGCACTTCGGATCAGGGAATTTTGGGGTCGGCCAAACAAAGAATGCAAAAAAAAAATCCAGCCCCAGGCCCGCTCGGGTTCCGCCACCGACTTCTCGGTGGTCTTGCACTCCGCTGCGGCGCGCGACCCGGCACGCGGCGCGACACGAGAAGTCAAGGCGCTAAGAATAAGACCTGCCCGGTCAGCGCCCCGGTCACCAAAGGCGGGGAGGGGTAGGGATGAGAATGAACATGTTCCATTGAAACGGATATTTTTCGTGTGATGAATTTTTCAGGTTCCAATTGTCCAACATCGTCTTGACCACAGGATCTTCATGAACATAGGCCACGCTAAGCAGACTTGATCAACATGCATGTGGGGCATTGTCGTCATTGCAAAAATATAGAAACATTGATTTGACACCAGCCTAGAATCTTGCCCAACGTAGCCCCCGATCAGTCAAAGAAAAACTTGGTTCCCGTTTTTTATTTGCACCAAAACACGCCATGACATTCAGCAATGACGTCCACCTGGCGTCCAGAATCATCTACACAAGTCCACTTCCCGAGTTCCGTCACCCAACCTGCTTTGGAACAAAGGCCGGGTGGGGAAGTGCTGGTGAAGGCCAACCTCGACAACGATGGAAACACGTGCCAAGACAGGCAGAACGGAACCGTACAGGCAGAGCGGCAGAACGAGATCGGGCCGATCGGGCGACTCCTTTCGGACCTGTGGAAACCAAAGGTCCACTATGTTTATAGTGGTCCCCAAACAGAATAGAAACGGTGTCCAATACATGTTGAAAATGATTTTTACTTTTCTATCTATTTGGGGGTCTATTTATCTTGCCAAGATCAAATGAGTCAAATTTCACACCATGCCGGTGAACATGTCATGTCAAAGTCGCTTGGTAGGGCTTGGAGAAGCGACGGCTTCCAAGCACGGGCGCACCAAGTATACCCACCCAAATGATGTCCTTTTTACCGAAATGAAAAGCCGCGTGCAATTTGTTTTAGTACTCCCACACATACAGCCCTTTCCAACTATATAGTCCCTTGTCATTTCATTCCACTTGTCAAGGAACTTGCATGAAGGAAAGAACAAACCAGAACGATGGCTGCAATGGTTCGCCGGTACATCCATTTGCTCTCAACAAGTTGTGTGAGGAAACTTGGGAGTGCTTGTCCAAGACATTGTTTGGGACCCAAAAAAGGAAAACTCCGGATTTGTGGTGTTGCACTCTGTTGCCAGATGTTGATCTGGTTTCTCACAATTTGTGCGAGTCATAAGTTTGGTGAAATAGGATTTCAACCCAAAGGCTTACACAAGACGCTCCCATGTCATGTGGCAATGAGTCAAAAAGAACATGACATAATGCTTCAGCAACGGCCGCTTTGAGAGCCAAGGGGATACGCATTGTCAGCGTCAAAAAATGTGCAAAAATAACTAAAACTCGATGACCCGATGACAATCAAAAACTGAGCACCTAAATTTAGTGTCATTCGGGTCATTTTGGCACCCCCTTTGTCAAATCCATGTGCTTGAATGGGTTCGAATTTTTGGTTCTGCTCCTCCTCGCTGTCCTCCAATGCCTCCATCTCATTCAACTCACTCAACCCAACTCAGACACTTCAACAATCAGATCGAACTCACCACAACTCATGTCCCTTTCTTTGGAGAAGGTCTGCTTGCCAATGCTCTGCAACTCGAGCACTGGCCAACAACGCAGCAAAAACTGCCAAACGAGATCTACATGCCTCTCGTCAACTGGCGATGTTTTTGTGTGTCTTGTTTCTTGCACAGCACCAACAAAAAAACAACAGCCGTCAAACCCTCGTCCTGCTTTCGAGCAACTCTATGCTGTGTCATCCTTGTGCAAGGTTCCTGCTCAACTCTGACACCTCGCCTCAAAAAGTTGTTTGCACTTGGCACACCAGTCGATTTAAAGAACAGTCGTTTGTTCACTCTCACGTTCAAATTGATGAAAAGTTTCTGGATCACTCACTTCACACATCTCAGTCGATGTGTCTTCTTGCTCTGGCTCTTGGTGATTTTTCTGCCACTTCCTCCCCTTCCACATCTGCTCCGCTATTGTTCTGGATGAACAATTTGTTTCATCAAATGTCCTGTTCTCGATCTTCTTCTTTGCACGGGTGGAGACGCCATGTGAGCAGAGTCTCCCGCCAGTTGGGTCAACAAACAACAAAACCACCAGCACCCATGTGCTTCCTCTTCTCACAAAGCTGTTTGAGGTGCACCACTGCAAGGTTTCATCGATTCGCTCTGCTTCCCTGCAAGAGAGGGCTGCATTGCATGACATGATTGTACATGAGTGCACCTTCGTGGTCCTTTTGCCAACAACTTCTCTGAGAGAATTTGGGATTAAACCTCAGCTGAAGATGACTTGTGCACCATGCACACATGGTCCACTCGTGCAAAAACGTGGTTCTTTGCCAACAACAACAATGATCAACTGTGAACCTTTGACAGTGCAAAACAATGTTCAGGAAAGGTCACACTGCTGGCAATAAATGGCCCTTTCGTTTTGGCATCTTTCGCAGTTTTCCACCAACCGTCCCTTGCCACTGCACATGTCTGCTGAAATCATGCGCAGATTTCAACTTTGTTGACCCATGGTATGTGGACTGCAAGCAGCCGTTGTTTTCGCGTGCTAGGAACGACTTGCTTGCTGTGGCAGCGAATGGGTCGAGCAAGTGGGTGCACTGCTGAGGCGGGAGAAGGCTTGCGGTGAGGGTGCTCGGTGTGTTGGAGTTGCATCGTCGTTTGAATCCGTACAGCAACTTTTCCAGCTGGTGCTGGAGTAATTGGTCCGGCACGAGAAAATCCAATTGGGAAATCGGTGCGGGCCTGTCAATACAGGCAAAGCCATGTGAAAGGTCGACACAACACTTGTCGACTCGAAAGCCAAAGAAGTCTGCAACACAACAAATCGGCTGGTTGCACTTGTTTGAATGACCAGCTGCGCCACTCGAAGAGCTCTAGGAATGTTGCCAGTTGGCCAAAGGGGTTTCACAGCAATAGGACGGTTGTAGCAAGTTGACGACATGGCTCGATGTTCTGGGTTGGAACCATGTTGGATGATCCCTCCCGCGTGATGTGAGGCGAGTTTGCAAAGTGGAGAGTCTGGCCATCCGACATCTCAATTGTGCACTGCTGCATGCCCTCGGAACCTGCAGAAAAAAATTCAGGCGCACATGCCGCACGCTCTCCGACATTTCTGGCCAATCTTGCGGCTGCAAAAGAAATTTTGCACGAGTGGAGACGCCATGTGCAGGTCATCTTTGATTGAGGTTTGAACTCCGAGTGCTGTTCCGGCAACAGAGGGGAAAAGAAAATCTGGTCAGCAGCGGAGAGCTGTGAAAGGCCCAGCTTGTGGCTCCGCCAAAGATCGCGCCAGCTCAGAATCTGCCACACTGATCAAAGAGGCCCACTGCAACCTCGCTTGCCATCGCGCGCAACATGCACACATGCACACATTCCAAATCATGTGAAAACACAGTAGCAAAGCTTCCTTTTCGATCCCGCTCCTTGAGCCAAAGTTACAGTCGGTTGTAGACTGTTCACAAAAGTCCTCAAAGTTTCCGTTAAGCTTAGTCACTCTTCTTGAAAAAGTACAAGACTGCACATAGTCATCTCAAAGCTACACAAATCCACAAAGAACTACCTCAAACAGTCTCCAAAGACATCGTGCTCTACCAAAAGGTTTTCTAAGCTATTCCTAGCCACAGGCTGCCACCTCAAACATCCTCCTGCTAAGGTGGTCAAAGGTCAAACACAAAAAGGGCACAGATCACCACTCAGCTCCAACCCCAAGCACTCTAAAAACGACAATTCCCTAAAGAAGCAAGCACTAGGTGAGCCATACGCTGTACACGTGCGCTGTACGCTACTTTTCACACCCCTTCTTGGGTCGCCTAGGGCTACCTTCTTTCTTCTCCTGTCATCTTCTCTTCTTCTATTCGTTTTCTTTGAGCAACTAAGGATCAGACATCAACTAAGATCCAAACTTCTGCCTTCAAAGGTGATCTCAGTGGCATCAATCCAGAGGTAAGCTCGAGTCCAGCCCAAGCAAAACTCCAGATC